TTCACTTGATCGAGTCTTGAAAACAAGCAAGAAATTTGAAATTTCTTCTCCTTCTTCCCCATCAAAACCATTTTACTCCTTCTGGCCTTCCTTAAGATAATGTTCTGTGAACTGGTTTGTGAGAGAGGAGCTGCTGGTGTGGGCTGAAATGTAAAGTGTCATTTCTGCAAGAGCTAGAAATGCAGAGTGATCTAATTATGTGCAGATATAACAAACTTCCTTTTCTTAAATTATGTTAATTATTTTTTGTTTTATAAGTTTTATAGTAAATAATTTGATTCTTATATTGGTCTGCAACATACTCCTAGTAGCTAGTTATTAAAAATCTGAATTAAAAAGCATGTGTGCATATAATTTCCAAACAGTTCTTAATATGAATCATTGACTCATAAAGAACGGTGGGTGATAGTATTCTGGATACACTGGTGCTTAATTCATTTGATTTTAAGTTTCTAGCTTGTTTGTTCTTTTGTTATAGCATTTAAAAACATCTTGGCTTACTCCTCATTTTCCTTAATCGAACTAAGTCATAGGGCTGTAAGCTGCATGACTTTCTTAACAACATATTTAATATGATTCTGTTATCCCTGGCTAGTCAAATTGGCATATGTCCTTAAAATAAAATTAGGTGTAATTCATTATTGTATTCATTATTGAGATTTTTCCCAACTACTTCTGAAAGGAATGTAAATCCAAAGATTAGGAGAGAAACATTAATCAAGTTATTTCATTTTTGTTTTTTGTTAATTCATCAGAGAATTAACACAGTAGGAGACCAAAATTGAAAATATTGCAGCTGCTTAAAGTGTATTTATTCAATTATGTTTAAGTAACTCTAGTGGTAAATGGGTCACGTTTCCTCTCTCTTTTTGTGAATTTCCACTGCCTCGCATAAATGACAAACAGCATCTTTTCAGCATCTCAACATTTTGTATGGGATATATATGGGTCTGTGTAGTATTCTGAATTACATTACGGTTCTTGAAAATTTCTGGGTCACTCAACCTACTGACACAGTTGGTCAGTAATGAATTATTTTGGAAATCTGAAAAAAAATGAGCAAGGGAAAAAAGGTAAAAGCTGTTGAACAAAACACAAACCATGATGGCAGTAATAGTATCTTTCAGAGTGATAATTTATTTCTTAGATATTAATTAGTTTTGAATTTTGACCACAGAGTATGGGCTAGTTTTTCACAAAGAGAAGAGTAAAAATACTTCTGGCAGTGAAAAGTCAACAGATTATTTATAGAAATGAAAGTCCTGGGCACCTTCTGGTTAACGGAAATTAACAGTGTCATTCTGAAATCCATGTGATTGGCTGTACTTGGTGAATTTCTTTCTGCAGCCTGTTTTGGGGCTTTTTAAAGTGATATTATGGAATTTGATCTAGTCCTTATGGAAGACTGCATTGTGCATGTATAAGTAAAGTAATGTATAAGGTTACCAAATGTTTCTAGAGTGCAAATGTTACAAATAACTCATCATGCTTTTGAGCTGTGGGTTTCATCATGAAGGGGAAAAAGATCAGTGATAAATAAAGAAGTTACAGAGTATAATATGCAATCCATAAGAAGCCTCAAACATGTCACATTATGATACCAAATGTTTCTGTGTCATTTGAGGACAGATGATAAAATATTTCTCTTTGTTCTTTCTTTATAGAGCAATAGATGGTAGTGTTTAATTTGGAGATGAGTTCCGTGTGTATAAATTATGGCATCTTTATTTATCATCATATTATTTCATCCTTCATTCTGTTTTAGAGCTGATATAGTGCTGTCATATGTGGTCAAGGATATTTGTTTGCTAAGCAATCCCTATGCATATATATATATATGTTATCTTCACAGGTTTTCCAAAATCTTAATTTCAAAACTCATTTTAATGTTTTGTCCCTCCAGGCTTCTTGGCTATCACTTACAGCAATAACATTTATGGATATCCCTGTTAGTAACACAAATATTCCATCTAGACATTTGCAGTATATAGATTAGAGAGTGCCTGCTGTACATACCAAAAGCCTAACTAAAACTCTTCTTATATTCTTAAATTTCATGCAGGAAAATGAGGTAATGAGATGCTGCAGTGATCTTATTATTTCTTCCTTTCATTAAGTGAATAATTTTTCTCTTTTCTAGATTGATAGAGTGAAATATAAATTAATATACTTTACTGCTTTACTTTTTTAAGCATTTAGTTCATTTCAAAGTGAGAACTGTCCTATATTGGTATGACCTTTTGAGAGATCTCATAGCAATAATATTGATCAGTGACACAAGTTTTGGCAATAATGCAGAGAAGCAGCCAGAATCTCAGTTGAAGTCTGTATAAATCTCATCTGTCTCTCTGTTGGAGTGATGCTGATGTTGCAATACTTATGCAAAATGGGAAAGAACTTGGCTGCTTTCATGTCTCTAAATTTAGTGTGTGGGTTGGCCAGGACAGTGAAGAGTTTATAACATCTCTATGTATTAATAAATCCATTTTGTGTGTGAACTTCTGTAAACCTTTCGTTATGCATTAGAAATGCTGCTGTGCTACTGACAATAAGTGTCAGTAGCAAGAAAGACTCCAGGAAGACCTAATACACTTATTTCCTGTAACATTCAAGCCACTGTAATTATGGGTCTTTTACCTAGCTTCTTTGGTAATTAAGAGTTTTAATTGTTTCTAGTTCCAGGGAATTAGTTAAGCTTTTCATTATGCATATTGCCTTCTGTAATCATGGTTCCTCTCCTATGGTAAGCTTAGTGACATCATGGAAGTCAATTAGGTCTTTCAAGGCAGAGCAGTGAAGTACATTCCTTTGTATGGGCTAGATCAGAAAAGGTTTCAGAACGGCCTTGGTAATGCTCTTCTGTGCAACATTTAAGCTTACTTTTCAAAAAGCTAAGCCTGTCAGAATTTCATTTACTGTCATCAGAGTACTTAAGGTCATGAACTAAGGTATTGTTAAGAACAAAACCTATAGGCAGAACCATGCTTTCTTTCTAAAAGCAATTGTACCAAACTTTCCACAATCAGCTGGTCACATACTTGCAGTTAGTAATAGTAATAATGGTCTACATTTGAAAATACCACATTGTTAAAACTGGAATGCAGTGACTTTTTGAAGGAAATGAGCACAAAAGAGATTGGTGTGATTCCTTTGGCTCACTAAAAATCATTAATTAAGTTTTACTTTATTACATGCAAGGTAGAAAGCACATCTTACTTTTCTCTTGACAGACTCCAAGTGATTGCTGACAAGAATCAATATTTTAAAAAGAAAAGAAATCAAAGGAAAGGGTTCTTCATTCCTTTTTCCTCTTCCAGAGGCTCTGAAAGATGGATATACATAGGGCAGACAGTTAATACATCTGGCAAAAATGTTTTCTTTGAACATAACAAAGTTTTTGCAAATTGCAACTTGAATCTCTTAGAGCACAGCCAGAACAGACAAACATTATGCATCCCTTACTTTGTGCATTGAAATAATTGTATGTTGGAGAAATTAAGAGATGCAGTATGCTCTTGTATGTTCATAGGATCATAGAATATCCAGAGTTGGAAGGAACCCACAAGGATCATCGAAGTCTAACTCCTGACTCGGCACAGGACAGCCCCAGGAATCACATATTGTTCCTGAGAGCACTGTCCAAATGCTGTGAGGCTTGGTGCCATGACCACTTCCCTGGGGAGCCTGTTCCAGCACCCAACCACCCTCTGGATGAAGAACCTTTTTCTAATATCCAACCTAAACCTCCCCTGACACAACTTTGGGCCATTCCCTCGGGTCCTGTGACTGGTCACCACAGAGAAGAGATCAGTGCCAGCACTTCCTCACATGAGGAAGCTGTAGACTGCTATGAGATCTCCCCTCAGTCCCCTCTTCTCTGTGGTAGGGCAGAGTTGCACTGCCTTATGATTACTAAATGTGGGGAAAATTGCCCTAACCATCCCAACACCTGTTTTCAATTACTGAAATTACTCGTGGCAGTGATTTTGGCATTAGTAGCAGTAGCAGTGCTAATAATATTGATAATAAATGCAATATGAATTGCAGAGACCATGTGTCAGTATAGGTCATAATTTTTTGGATTGATGAATGCCAAAAGCTGCTTTGGATTGTCCATAACCAAAAATTCAAACTGAATACTATGTAATGGCAAGAAGAGATGCTTAATTATATAAATTCTGGAATGAACTCCAGAAGTATTATCTTTTATTTTATAAAATTTCAGAACATATGATTTTAATATATTTATCTTATATATTTATTATTCAATATTCTGAATTTAAAATACAAAATCTACATAAATAATGTATGATTATTTTTAAAAACTCTGCTTCCAAACTGCAATCTTTAATGATTGTGACTGTTGTGAGGCATGGAACTTCTACCTGACTAAACTGTCTCTTCTCTAAATCTAACCTTGCAATCTAATTGCTGATTTTCTTTCTCATCATTGCTTTGAAAGAATTAAGCAAATAGAGCACGTCTTTGACAGCACTCCTCTGATAAGTGATTTTTGTCTTACTCTCCACTCATCCAAAGTCCTGCTATTGACCTAGGTAGTGGCCTTCCCTATCTTGTGTATGTAGGAAATGCCACACCTTTAAGTGAAAGCACTGCTTGTGCCATTTTGTAAAGTTGGTTTGGAAAAGTTAAATTGCCTGCTTATAAAGGAATTTAAGCAGTTGCTTAACTTTAAGCTTCTGATTAAACTCATCCCTATAAAAAACAAAGCACTTAGGAACATCTGGATAACAAGTTTCTGGGATTTAAGTATGTCTGTTGATGTTTTTTGAATTTAAATTAATTAAAGGTTAATTACCATGCAGATGTTTGAATTGAGACATTTGCCCTTGTTCTGATTAGGAGCGTCTAACCTAGTAATGGAATTCAGTTTTTCTACTAAGTTTCATTTGGGATCATTCTCTCTTTTAAAACAAACTATTTAAAGTTCATAGTAACATTATTCTTTATTTTTTTCCCCTGACCTCCTTTCTTCTCAGTGTCTTGTGTTTGAAGATGCACCACTTGGAGTCAAAGGAGCCCTGGCAGCAGGAATGCAAGTGGTTATGGTTCCAGATGAAAATTTAAATCCAGATCTTAAAAAGGAGGCAACACTGCTGCTGAAGTCCATGGAAGATTTCAAACCAGAACTGTTTGGTTTACCAGCATATGATTAATGCCTATGAACATCCACTTGACTGGAGATGGATTAAAAGTGAAATGAAATTTTATTTTGGTTTTGTGATTGTTTTTCATCTTTTACTCTCTTCGTCAAAACTAGAGCACAAAAATCCCATTAACACCAAGTATTCTGCACAGTACCTTTGGAAAATTGTCTGGAACGTTTATGATTTGTCCTCTTGATAAATGCTAAATTAAAGCAGCATCTCCCTGTGAAGTGAGTCCAGTCTTGTCCTCTGCACACCATAATGCTTTCTGGGAATATTATGAAACTATTTAGGCAATTTATTGTAATTGCATTGGAAGCTTCTGGTTCTGTTTCCACTTGAATGACTTACTGTTTAGATCTTAACCAGAAATCTGTTCTAGATTGGCTTTTATCCCATTACCTTTTTTTTGATAGTTATTGCTATCAACATGTTTATCCATTTCCTCATCCTGTACTTGTCCATCTATTCCCCTTGTATTGTGTTGTCTTTTTATTTTTTTCCCCACCTCTTTGCAAGGATTTTTTTGTACTTTCTGTGCTTTTTTATTATGTTTTTCCTTGGAGATTGAATGAGATGACTTAAAACCTCCATTATTCTATAATTCTCTCATTATCCTTTCTGATGTGGTGATAGCTGGCTAGGAGGTTTACAAGCTTATATGATCTTAGAAGTTAACCAAAATGTTTTGCATCTTGTTCCTTTCGTTTCCTTCTGATTATTTCATTCTTATGAAATTAATGCTTCCTGTCTCTATGCTTCAACTCTATGGCCTTAACTCCTTTGTATCCAAATAGCTTTTTGTAGGCTATCCGTACTTTTCCATTCTTGTCTCCTTTTTTTTTTTTTTTTTTTCCAATTTCTCTACAGAGAGCATTGCTATCTATTTTTAAAATGCAGAAATTGAAGATTCGGCTTCAATAAATGCTTAAAATTTATTTTCCTGGCTACCATAATTTCCATGAAATGTTTATGTTGTCAAATGTTCCTCTTTGTCGCTTTCTGACATCTTGTCAGTACAAGGACAAGTGTCTCTTTAGAAAATGCTAGAAATGTAGACAGACAAGTGTCTCTTTAGAAAATACTAGAAATGTAGACAGATTTTGGTGAAATTCACAACTACATGTATGACATGGTAGAAGCAATGTCTTTTACTTCGTTTAAAGAAACCTATAGTATGTAGGGCTTATGACAGTTTTATAAAATGAATTATTGTGTTCAGCATTTAAAAACCTAATGAGTATACAGGAGGTACTCCAAAATCTTGATAAAATATCGAACTCCATAAAAACAAGAAACTTGAAATATGTCAAATCAGAGAATTTTGATCTTCCTCACAAAAATATTTTCTAGGCATTTCTGGTCTTTAACTGTTTTAGATTTAAGGGCGTTTTGTCAGGAACAAAAATTAATGAATCATAGACCCTTCAGTATTCATGGTGAGTTTCCTTAGATTTTAATCCTCCTGTATTTAAAAAAACCTCAAACTTTTACATCTTTTATGTTATTATTTTCTTTTACTGTAATCTGTTTATACCTCAAAAATTAAGGAAATTTTATTCCGTATGGTCAGTCCATAAGTGGTACCGGAATCTTTTTAGTACATATAATATAATAGTTTGCAGTTAAACTTTTAATTCTAAGGATCTAGAAGCATTTTTTAAAAAAAGGGTGAATATCGATTCTGTGTAAGTATTCTGCATGTTATGTTGTTTCTTTAGGCCCATAGATATTGCAGTCATTGGTGTTTGTACAGTAAAAACAACCTGTCTCACCCAACCTGAATTCCATTTCTGGTCTTCCCAGACAAGAGAACAGAAATATCACTGTATAATTCTTCCTTTGACTGATGTTACATAACACAAAATGTTACTGTAGAGCAGTAATTCCGAGCTTTCAAGTGTAAAACAGGTGCCTGTTGGGATCCCCTTCGTTCATAATTACTGAATTCCAACAGGGAAGTTACTAGGTAGAACAAGCTTTAATAAGCTATAATTGGTAACTTTTTCAAACTTTTGCATATATTTAATTTAACTGGGGAGTTTTACAAAACATAAAAAATTAGCCATGTCTCATTTATACTTTACTTTGAAGGAATTGTCATCAAAGTCTTGAATTTTCTTTTTAAAGATGTAGAGACATTAATAAATATATCACTGACAAAATCAGAATTACTTCATCATGACCACCATGGCAAGATCAGCATATCCTGCAATTCTAATTTAATAGCTTTATCTTCTGCTGAAAATTAATAGTCAGAAAATTATTGCTCCTTAACTCAACAGCAAATCCTATCCCATAAAATTACTCTTCCATTAATTTAGTATCCCACCTGAGAGTCGTCAGTGAGATTATGGCCCCAAACTGAAATCTGTGAACCTGAGCCATATGCTGTAACCTTCTCATCCTTTTAGTAAAATTTCCTTCCATATACTTTTTGGTGGTGGTTCACTGGCTTCCTGGTCCTGAGCTGAACCGTTTAACTGGTACTGAAGTAATTTTAAGTGTTGTGGTTAGCTTTTCTCTTGACTGAATGAGAAATCAAAACAGCACATAAAATTAAATTTTTCTACAGTAACCTTAAAAATCCTGTCATCTCCATCATGTGCAAGGTGGATATCGATGTCAGCAGCAGGTGACTGTAGCCTGCCTGATTAACCATATACCAAATATCAGCATATGTTTGTATATATTACTTTACCCACTTTTTGGTTGGATTTGTGGCTCTGTAGCTTGATCATCTCAACAACATCTGTTCAGAAAAGAAAAAAATAAAAAAGGATTAAAAACTTGGATTCCCTCCCTTCATTCCATCTGCTGCTTTCCACATGAAGTCCTGTTCTGACTGAACTGAAAAAAATCCATATCAGATCCTGGCTACAGATCATGAGAACATGTGAGCAATCAGGACATTTGAATGCTCCATCTGTGTTTGTATGAAGAGGACTGTTAAAAACTAATCTGAAAAGTCTATCCTCTAACTCAGCAAGCAGACTTCAATCCCAATAAATATTTAACACATGCTTAATTCATTTTTATTAAGCAAGGAATAAGCACCAGCTTAATTTTAAGGATACATTTAATTTTATTTGGCTTAATGTAGAATATGTGCTTCAGTCATATCCTGAGAAGAATTCCAGCCTCCACAAAATACAGGCAAAAATTCATGACCAACTTTTTACCATTGGAAAATAGGATAAGCGCAGCATGATGGACCTAAATTCAGCCATGAAAATAAATTTTAAAAAAATTTTTAAAAGTTGGTGAGGTATGAACTATTGTACTGTAACTTAAACTCCTTTCAACCTCACAAGTGAATTAGGATTTACATTTTACTGGAACTTCAGTGGGATTAATCTTGGTAGAATTTCCATGTTGCAAAGATATACATAAGTGGAGGTTTCATCGAATATATTCAGGTGAAAATTCACTGCCTTGGAACAGGATTAATTTCAAAATGTAGTCTGACTTCTGCGAAGCTTGGCATTTGCCTTCTACAAATAAAGCTCAGAAAAAGCTGAGATTTTCATTCCTCATTTGGATTAGATGTCTTTCTAAAGGATGCTATAGTTAAACCAAAGAAACCTCTGCCCAGAATCAAGCTCATGTTGCATATATTCCAAAAAAGCAGAAGCCAAACTAGAAAAATATTGTGAGAAAATTCATAGTAAGACAAAATGAAATTATTTTCTACCACATTAAAATTCATGTGTATCTTTAACAATCAGAGAATACTTGAAATTTACTGCTTTCTTGCTAGCTCTAGATACTGATCATCCATACAGAAATCCACCTTTTTTTTTTTAATCTAGATAAATTTAGACACCAAAACCACTACATAGGCACTCCATGGGCCATATGGAAAATTGATTTGCTTCTAATTTTTTAATATTAAAACAATGTTAAACAATAAAAATATAGCAGCCTCTTTTTTTTTCCCAATTAATTTGTTTCCATGCATTTGTTTCTAATTTACTTACTTTGTATCTTCACTGAACTTACCGTGTTTTGACATTGAGAAGGTAGAACTGGTTTTTTGTCAAATTAATGGAAAGAAATGGAAATAGTGGAGTGGAGGAAAAAGAGCTCTCTCAGAACACTTCTCTGTCCCAAGGGAAACATGACTATCAACACTTTATCTTAACCTTCCTTTTGGCTGACACTTCTAAACTGTGGGTTTAATCACCATATTAAAGTGAAGAACAAAAGAAGGATGAGAACTCAAACTAAAGCCTCTTCCAGAACTTGCAAGGGCCAAGGAAGTTACCCCTGACATCAGGACTCACTGAATGTGCCAGTGACTGTGTCTACACTGCCTGGTAGCTCACTGTGACAAAAAAAAAAAATTCTATTAGAGGACGAGGGGTAGCATGAGAAATACTGGTGGTCTCTTCTGCTCTTCAGTCCTTTGAGTTATGGGCTCTAAGCCATATTCAAAATGTTAAGAGTTGGCTCGCTCTCATGATTAAAACAAGCCTCAGCAGAGGGAAAGCATTTCAGTTCTCACCCCTCTCTTTATGGCATTTTCCCCAGAATATCTGTGGTATGAAACTGGAACATGAAATGAAGCGGTAACAGGACCATTATCTATATCCAAGGTTCCTTTGGTTCAAAAAGCAACTGAGAGGGCATTATTTGGTGGGGAAAAACAGAATGGTAGAAGAAAGGAGCTGGAGACAAGGAAGCAACCCATGGTATAAACCATCTAAGACCAAGCAATCCAATGAAATGAAGAAAGAGGAAACAGTCAAGATTTCCACTTGTCCATAGCAAAAATGTAAAAGAAGTAATTATGGAGGGAAATTTTTTTGCATAAACAGAAGCAAAACCCAACTCAAAAATATATTCAAAGACACTGTGTTATGAGACACTGAGATTTCTAGAGACAAGATTCAACCCCTCTAGAAAGTAGAGCAATTTGCCTGTAGAAGGGGATATTGGAAATGGACTATTGGCTGTCCATGATATCATGATTACTTTAAAAAAATGCTTTATGATGGTGTTATTGACATTTCACAAAAAGCAGTACGGCTATATAGCCAGCAACTCTTCTTCATTTAGAGAACTTCAGCAATTGGAGAATCAAGGCTAATTAAGTTCCTGTAAATTTGACAAAGCAGTTTTCGCTGTATCATCTGGATGTCTTGCTAGTAATTTAATTGATTACCTACATAGCTATAGTGTAGTCAATGTGTCTAATAGTAGCAGTATCTAATCCAAATCCCTGTAT